GCAGCACTGTGTCCCCAGTTCACCACCTCAGCTGAGTGTGAGAGTTTGCTTTTCCAGGAGATAAACACAGATCTGATTAACATTTTGTTCCATTTCACAGCATCCATCCTGCCCAGGGTTACCTGGGGGAAAGGGTGTCATTCTCACTCTCTTTGAAGTCACAACTGCATTTCACCTTCTTGCCTTTATCTCTTACAACTGAGTTTTCAAAACCTTTTCTGTAAATCTGACTGTTTTCATTTGTTTCTCAACCTCTTCACAGGTTCTCTCTCGTCCTGTTCTTCTTCCCCATTTGTTTTTTATTTTCAGTTGCTCCCCTTTCTCCTTCTTTTCTTCTCCCCAATCTGGCTGTGCCCTCCCCCAGGTCCTTCCTGCCTGATTTTCGGACAGAAACCCCACATCCTTCCCAGAATCAGTCACAYATCTCACCCCTCCTCATTTCCTTCACCCCACCCACATTTCCGTGCAGGGGAGTTTTGTTCTTCAAAGCGATTTTTTGTTTTTCCCAGAGCCAAAAGTGTCTGATTTTAGAGTGGGTGGCACATGCTCGGTTTGGCAGGGACATTGTGATCCAGATGGAACATCCCTGGTGGACAGGACAGGGCATCTGCCAGGAGATACTTTCCAGGGACATATGACTTGATGAAATTTTGGCAAAGTTTCATGCTGCAGGGTATTTCAACCAGAGCACACGACATACCAGGGTCCCTCTCTGTCTGAATTWAAAAAAAATTTACTATCCTAGAGAGGAGAAAAGATCCGAATTTYCATCTTCTGTGGTCTGTAGGYCTSAGTTATTGAGGAATAATTAAATACTTGAGGAATAATTAGATTTTAGGGAGGGATGAACATGATGAACATGACCTTTTTTTTAACAAACAAGACAAACCTCCTGCAGACTGTTGAAAACTGTTGCCAAGTGACAAAACTGCACTTGTTGCACACTGGAACGCCTATTCCTGACCTGATTTCCTGGCCAAGGTTTCAAAAGGCTGGAGCAGGCTGCTCCTGTAGTTAATCCCACTCTGATTCCCTGATTTGACAGCGTTTTTGCTGCTGAGGCTGTGATYACTGCACRGGGACACATCACTGTGRCTGCACAGAGGCAAATAAAACTTGRCTAAGGGMTYTTTAGACRCCACCACAGATGGATAATTCAGGTTCTGTATAGGCTGAGAGAGAGAAGATGCATTAAAAATGCTGCTTTCCAGATGGGATTAAAAGGAGCAGCCCTGAAATTGGGGGAAATGCCCAGAGGGATTGAGCAGCATTTATGGGATTGTGAGTCACAGAAATGGGGTATTAATGACACAGTTTGCCTCACAGCCCTTTGAGCATCTCCCCATTCCCTTCCCACATATCTGAAGCTGAACTTGTTTGGTTTTCATTGTTTCTTTCAATCCATGTCACCTGCAGACTGCTCAGAACGTTGAAGTGTTGCCTATTAACTTTATTAATTTAATTTTAAAGTTGTGTATTCCATCCCTTCACCCCACAGTCTGTAAATTTCCTTTGCCTCAGGCCTGATAGATGTTTCTCACCCCCAATGTAGAAGTTGTTCTCTGCTGGTAAATTTGATTTCTCCAAACAATGGAAATCTCCAAATGAGAAAATGCCACTTCCTGTTCCTCTGACTTAAGAAAATTGTTACTATGATCAACAGGATTTTGTGTTTAACATGTCTACAATCTTTTTATTCCTTTTTAATTTTCCCCCTCAATCACTTTGCCATTTTTGCATCCCATTTCTATTTATATGGCATATACAAAAATACCCACAGTTTTAAGGATTCTCCTTTCCCTGACTTTTGAAGGCAGGAGGGGGAATTGTGTGTTTAAGAATTTCTGTGCCAGATCAGACAAGTCTGACCCTGATTCTGTGTCCTATTTCCATCATGGCCAATACTGTTTGCACTGGATGAGGAAAGGCCTCTGGTGCTGCTGCCCTGCTTTGTTCTCCAGCYTTCAGAGAACTCCAGGACAAAGCTCACATTTATCAGAGACAGAATTTTCACATTTTTATATGTTGATTTTTGGTATCCGTGGCATCCTGTAGTAAAATGTTGTAGAACTTTCTGCTACAGGATGCTGTGGATATATTTAGAAATGCACAGAGTGTGTGTAAGCACCATGTAATCAGATTTTTGTTTGATTTTTTTGTGGTGGTTTGACATATTTCTTCTCTCTGTCCCAGATATGCAAGTTCTGCCATTGACCATCCAGGAAGCACATCCATGAGGAAGGTAATGATTTATAAAAGTACTTTAAACAAGCAAAAAAACTCCTCTATTGTTCAATTCATTGCCATGTTTTTAAAAGATACTTGAGATTACCCAAACCTTGACATTTGTCTGTGTAAGGAAAGAGCTGAAAATGAAAACTTAGGAGTAATTTTCATGTTGAGAGAATTGGCTGCTGCAACCACAACAGGTCAGTGTGTCTGCAATCAATTTTAGTTAATTTTAGGAACTTGAGGATTTAGTGTTGGTGTGTGCTCTGAGTTATGTGTGGGTTTGAGGAGGAAAATTGCACCCCACGTTAGGCTGGGAGGGAGGCTGACCCTGAAGGCAGAGAAAACTTTTAAAGCTCTTAGAATATTTAAATAGGATCTATACCATAAGGGGATAGGGATTAAGGGATAAGGGGACAAGGGATTAAGATTTTCAAATATTTTTGTGGTGCCCAATTCGGGGTGCTCCATTTTCAGCGGAAATAGCTGTATGTTGTTTTATTATTCAGCATTTTGCAATTATKTCATGGAAAGGACAAACAACAAAACCTTCATTTGSAGMATGTCAGTTCTTCATTCTGCCTTTTTCCTCTGGTTAGGTTGGACAGGGTTTGGAGCAGCCTGGTCTGTGGAAGGTGTCTGTGCCCATGGCAGGGGTGGAACGGGATGAMCTTTAAGGTCCCTCCCAACCCAAACCATTCTGGGGCTSTGATGACCCAAYTCTAAAAGTTTYCCCTAAAAACTCCTGAAGTTCCAACCTGTGGAGGTACAAACAGCCAGTTTTGCTGTTCATTTCCAGTTTCTGTGACAGCCCTTCCCCATCCCAGTGATTTCACTGATCTCTCCTGAATTTACCTTCGTGTAGCACCCACTCCATCCCAGCCTTTCATTTCATTTGCACCATTCTGGTTTTTCTGGTGGGGCTGTCAGGGTGTGGACCCTCTGCCTTGGGTCTTCTCGTGGTTTTGAGATCAGAATTGCAGCTCTGTCAGCCCCAGTGAGCTCTCCCATCATCTGTCTGTCGCCCATAGCAACYCTGAGTCATCTGGAGTTGCGAGTTCTGACTGTTTTCTTACCGTGTTTGCCACCAAGTTAATTATGTTATAGTGGCTCTTTTATCTCCCAGAATATGGAGCTCCAATTTTTTCGTCAGCAGCGCTAATTAACTGCTGATTCCCAAGGTATTGCAAACCTTCCTCTAGTTTCCTTGCTTTGAATACATTCTATGTGTGCATAAACAAAACAGCAAGAATAATTAACTCAGCTTTATAGAAGAAAGTTTTGTTGTTTTTTGGKKTTTTTTTATATTTTAGWAAGGTATTTTCAGCTCTCMTTGATTTTTTTTGCTTGAGGTTTTTTGGTTTTTTTTCATTATTTTTAAAACTTTTCTATTGAATGATGCATGMCAGTTTCTGGTGAGTATCCCAACGTCTGCTTCCTCCAGGTGTTTCATTTATCTTGCAGTTTTTTTAAAATTTCATCACCTTTCATTATCGGGTTTTATTCCATCGCTCTCTTTCTCTACCTTAAATTGTAGGAAAATTCGGTGATGTCTTTTTCAGGAGCACACCAGCCTTGCCCTGATGCATTTCTCTGGAMAGAGGAGCGTTGAGCAGATTGTTTCAGCCCAAACACCACAGACACAGCAGACAGATCAATATTGCCTCTGAGATCTGCARTACATCACCCAAACCCCCCAGTGTCGCCGTGCACATTTGATGCTTTCTCTCAGSCTTTTTTTTCTATTTCATTTCTGCATTTTGCTGCGTTTCCTGTGGCACAGGAGCATTAATCTTTGTCTCCTCTGGTGCTCAGAGCAGGGATGAGTTTGCAGCGATGAAGTTGAACTGGGGATGTGTGTTTTATTGGTGATACTCTGCACACTGTGCTCTCCCCTGCCAGAATCACCAGATTTTTGTGGAACATTCATATCCTGGGGCTGGCTGGGAGAGCAGGCTGAGGTCAGGAGAGCACAGAGAGCTGGTGGCCTCCGAGCCAGCTCCCTGGGGAGGCAGGAACTGCTGATTCCTGCAAGAACCCGCAAAGCGTTCCGCRAAATCACACCAGGGTGACAAATAGGGCTGGCAATGGCCAAACCCTCTCCTCCCTCTGCTGCTTTCCTTTAAARTAAAACTTTATCTGCAGCTGAAGTTCTATTTCCACCTGTTTATTTTATACAGTTCTTAAACATTTGTATAATTGAGGCAAATCCTTACCAGTTTTTGAGTACTATCACTGTTTTTTTAACTTTAAACAATGAGATGCTTTTAGAGGTTTATTTCAGTATCCATAACAATTTTCTAATGCAATCACAAAAGAAAGAAAGATTTTTTTCAATGCCATTGAAATTAATAGCTTTTTTTAAGGTATTTCAATTTGCAGATTTAGCAGTGTTGTTTTCTTTATGTTTGTGCAGCAGTAAGAGAAAAAGGGCAGAAGGGAGGCCCTGTGATCACTGATGTTGTGATAACCCTGGAGATGGGAGTGAATGAAAGCTCTTGCMTGTTACTTGCCCTGGTATCTCATAATTTATTTACTTTTTTTGCCTTGCAGTCATTCCATTACGCTTCCCTCAGGGTAAAAAGCAGAAAATGGTCAAAAGGTAACTCATTTCAGTTAATATTTTGAATCTAGAAAATGAGGATCCTTCTCTTGTTAATAAATTATCTGAATCAAAAGTTCAACTTAATCCAATTATTTCTAAATTTGATAGTAAGCAACAAAGTAAAATGCCAAATTAAAAATGCCAAAATAAATGTGTGATAGGTATAATATTGCTTGGCTGGGTGGGAAAATTTCCTCTGCCTTGGGAAGAAGGCTGGTGGGATCTATGAGCAAAGTGATGCAGTGGAACACTGCAGAATAAAGGATGCTGGTTTGATGTTCTCTAAATTTCTTCCCAGTTTCATAACTGTAGGACAAATGTAATTCTTGTAACATCATAAACTTGATTTTTCACAGAAAAAGAATGGCTGGTATGTTAAGGAAATTTCCCACAGAAGTTTTTTTTTTCAGGAAAAAAAAACTATGCCATATTTATTGAAAAATCCTGTTTTTATTAATATTTACCAGGCACTCTAAATTTTTAAGCCTTTCAATTAGGATTTACTGAAATAACACCGATAAAAAACCCCTATTTCTGGTGCTGTGCCTTTAACAGGATGCTGTAAAGTTAAAATACTGTTGCTCACTTCAGGATAAAAATAATGCAAGCATGTGCATTGTTATGGAAGTGAGCAATCTTTCTTTTTTATTGACTATAAAAATTTGGTTTAAAAATTCCCATCATTTGACAGGGTTTCTGCTGCTGAAGGGAAGATATATGGAAAAAAAAGCAGTGTTTGCATCTGTGTACAGAACTCRTACTCTGAGTTCCTGATTGAGGCTAAACAAATATATTTTTTACTTTGGAATGACACTGCTTATCCTGATCAGAAAAAAAAAAAAATGCAGCCCTCAGAGGAATGAACCCTCTAGAGATTAAATAAACCATTGCATAAACCAGGTCCTTTTTTATTTTGTGTTCACGCAGAGCGCTGTCGAATTTGGGAATTGCTCAATCTGAGACTGCAGAGGATTTGGTTTGGAGGGTTTTGAGTGGAATGATCATTTAAAAATCAGTTTAAATTAGAATTTAGAGAGTATTTCCCTTCTCTCACTCTGTGTTCCATGGTGTCCCAGGGAGTTCCCTCTCCAGTGTGAGCAGGAGACGAATTTCCTGCAAGGACCTGGGCCATGGAGACTGCGAAGGCTGGCTCTGGAAGAAAAAGGATGCCAAAGGTTATTTCACCCAGAAATGGAAAAAGTACTGGTTCATTCTGAAGGATTCCTCCCTGTACTGGTACACAAACCAGAACGTAAGTGGGCACCACGCTTGGAGAAAGTGAAAATGAAACCTGAAGTTTTAGAATTATTTTTACTGCATGGCTGGATAAACTGCCACTTTAATTGTCAGGTCTGGGAACTCTGGCTGGAAATATTTCAATTGAAATTCTTTTTTRAACTCTCCAAGTTCATGTTCAAGCTCAATAAAATTGCAGATGTTCGTGGCATTTTTTAAGAAATATGTATGTAGTTAATCCKTTTCCACAGATTTAATGTTCACACTCAGCTCTGCCCAGTTTCATATRGGGGTGGATGTGTAAAGTGTAACTATTTGTGTTGGTTAAGCATTATGTGAAACAGATGTGAAAATCTGAATTTGTAAATCTCCTTATCTAAAAGTTATTTTTATAGAGATGTTCCTCTTGCTTTTTGCTGAACTAGTCTGGAGTTTGCAGTTTCTCACGTGTAAAATGCTGTTCTTGGTGAAATTTTCCTGAAAACCACTGGGCCTGTGCTGGGGCAATCTGCATAAATGTTGGGAAAAATAACAGAGAACCCAAAAAAGTTCAATTTCCCCTTCAGTGCAACAGCCCTGGTGCTGCTGCTCATTTCTCTCTTCTTTAATTTTATCTCTTTTTCAACATCACTGTTGTTTTTTTTTATCTCATTCAACAGGATGAAAAAGCAGAAGGATTCATCAGCTTACCYGAGTTCAGGATAGACAGAGCAATTGAATGCAGGCGAAAACAGTAAGTAATGTTTGATTTATGTTCACAAACTGAAGGATTKCTCTGAAAGTTTGCTATCCATAGTACTGAACCTTTGCAAAGTCCAGAGRAGGAAGTTACTCAGAGAAACCTGGAAATCTGTGAATATGTCATCATGGATCCACTTAAGCTTTAGTATTTCTCTTTATTATAAAAGATACAGTGCAATGTAAATTCCATTTACTGGATTTAAATGAATTGAATAATTCTTTAGCCAGCTTGCCAGACATTCCAGTTACAGCTTCAGTTAAATAAGTAAATCAAAAAGCAATGAATACTTCAGCAAAGAGATAAAACTTGTTCAGGTTCAATAGGACCATATTTTCCCATAGGAAATAGCATAAAAAATATCACAGCAGGGGATGGTGAATATAATCTTAATTTTCTCTTTTATGGAGGAAACTTTACATACCCAATATTGTGTTGCTCTCAGCTGCTAAAATATTTAAGTTCCATATGCAAAATGAACGCTGCATTATTGCTTATGTGCATATTGCTTCTTCTCCATTGTGCTCCAGTAAAAACATATTACAAGYTTTGCACAATTAAGGAATATTTAATAACAGACATTCATTGGAAATGGCTTCCAAACAGTRTTGGGATTGGAATCACAGGCTTAACAGAACAATTCCAGTGCTCTGAGTGTAACACTTTGTTGGTATCTCCTCAATTATTTGCATTTGTCTTCTGTACGCTTTCCTGCTTTTAACTAAGCATCCTGGATTTCTCCTGTGCTGTTCCAATGACTGAATGCAGTTTTGGTGTGAGGAAACAAGTCCTACAACTGTGAGCACATGCACAACAGAAATATTGAAGATCTGAATTACAATAGAGGCTGCTCATCAGAAAATCAAACCTCTCCAGCTGCCTGTTCTTGTCTGGGGATATTATTACCGTGTCAGAGAAGTACAAGACAGTGCAATTTACACTTCTATTTCTCCTTTCAGCTGAGGGTATCACTGTAGAAATTAAACAYGAACTGAGCACTATAAATACCTCAGGGCAATGAGTAGATATTAATAATGATATWGAACAAAAATACAGGAAAAATAATACCCTTTTGTTAGAATATAAAGCACTTAACAGATTTCAGTGACTTAACCAAGATCAAACAGAAGGTCATTGTGCACAGCTAGAAATAGCTTCCAGAGCTTTCCTCAGAGCATGRGAACACAATCCCTCAGAACTCAGCTTAGAGAAGGATTTCTGTGGGGTATATGCACAGGGAAAAGTCCGATTAACTAAAACGTTGCACACGACTGAAAGCTGAGAACCTTCAGGCTTTGAATCCTTTCAAAGAGAGGCAGGTCCAGAGGTAAAAGTATAATGAAGATGTTCATAGTACATTCCCTTTTTTCCTCAGCACAATTTCCATTTGGTTTCTTCCTTCATGGACTACTGCTTATATATTTCCTCCAATGTAAAAACTGCGCCTTACATTTGCCACTGTTTTATCTGAAAGTGAGTGCAGTGAAATTCAGTTTATGTGTCCAGCCAGCTCCAGCCCCTGTGTGCACACCTGCAGAGCACTCACCTGTCCTCTCCTGGGCTGTCCTAGGACAGGAGTGAGCATCATTCCATCCCCTGATCCCACTGAAAAAACCAAAATCACAGTGTCAGTGTTCCTTCAGCTCTCCCCAGTGCAAAAGCAAGAACATTTTGGAAGCCAGTTTGGATTTCCCCTCAGATCTCTTGWTCTTTTCAGAGCTATTGATGTGAAATGTTCCAACCCTTTGGAGCAAAAGGATTTGAAGGCTTGCTGGAGTAATTAATGGATTTGTCTCTCCCGCTGTTGTGGCKGGTGGGGAGTTCTGCTGCCCAGCCTGGCTGTTCACACATGCAGGGATGGAATAGCCCTGAGAAAGCTTTCACAAGAATATATATAATTGAATGCATTATTCGGTCTGGTTTGATGATTTGCCTCAGTAATGCATTTAATGAAGGTCCCTGATTGTTACAGGAGCCGTGGCATTATCTCAGACTGGTTCAGCTCTCCGGGCTATGGCTGGACGTGCAGTGACCTTGTTCCTGTGAAAAGAGGCTTTTGGCATCAGCACTGAAAAACTTTCCTCTGCTTTTAGGCAGCACCTGCATCCTCCTGATTAAAAATGATCATACAGCATGAGAAATTAGAGTTATTTGAGGTTGTGTGCTGTGGCATGACATGAATATCGTGTTATTTTCAAAGATACTGATAATTACAGTGCCCCATGATGACGCTGAGAACCAAGTATAAAGATTAATTGGACTACAGGTATAATTAATCCTTATCAACTGGTGCTTTGCCTGAACCTTCAACAATTTCCACCTAGTGAAAATTTTCATTGCCTAGTTAATGCAAATTTAGGTCTTAAATTTATCAAGGATAAAGTGTTGGCACTTCATACTGAAAGTGTGCACTCAGAGGTCTACACAAATGTCATTGATGAGATACAGGCAGATGGGAAGGTGTAGGTTAAATATTAGTACAGTTTTAGTAATTTTATTAATTCTGAAAAGAACTTGGGAGTCCTTGCAGGCAGCAAAGCCCCCTTGAGCCACCAGTGGGCCCCCACAGGAAAGAAACTTCCTGGGCTGTGTTAACTGGAGAGCAGCCAGTGAATGAAGGGATTGTTCCTTAAACCAGCACTCMCTACACCAAATCCTGATCATTGCAGCCAGTCTGGGGCCCTCCAAACCAATCCAGATGTAAATATATAGATACCATTCTTCTGGATTATTCACATTTATACATCTTAAATTGTTTCCCTGGAGATTCCTGTTCCTGATGCCAGGAATATATCTAAACACTTCCCTGATGATAATCCCAGTGACACTGCTGGCACATGAAGATGGATTTATTGTTATGTTYTGCAGCCCTGACACAGAACTGCAGTGCATTTAAATCTCAGGTTTGCACAGAATTGGGGTCTCAGCAATAAAGATCTGTTTTCTGCACTCTGCAAATACATAACAGTGCAACACATTATTGCAGCTTTAATGCTCATGTCTCAGGAAATTATCACAGCATCGGGCTGAAAGATCTCAAGGAACATTCACACAGTAACCAGTTAGGTGTGTTTGCAGGGAGCTGGCATGGGGGAACTCCTCTGCAAAAGCAGCCAGACCTTCAGCCTTTAACTGATTTAGCCCTGACAAAATTCTTGCTTTTTGTGCATTTGATGCCACATTCACAAATTCAGGAGCCCTGCAGACAGTGCCTCACCTGTTGAACAGCCCTGATTTCACCTTTCTGTACCATAACTGAGGCAGGGCTCCTGTGAGAAGTTAATATTCTAAYAGCCACAGGATSACAGSCTGGTTTGGGYTGGAATTGACCTTAAARATCATCCCTTTCCACCCCTGACACCTTGCACTCAAAAATGATCCACTAATCATCGATTATATCACATTACAAGAGCACAGTGGAGCCACTTTAAACTGTTTATCACRCTGACTTCCACCCATCATAACATTGACTTGAAACCCCAATATTGGCACTTGAATGCCTGTATCTATTTAAATTTCMTGTCTAGGAAAATAATCCTATTTACAAGCAGAAACTTCATCATGTGATATTCTCTCAGGATTAGCCAAGAGGATTAGGATCTTTGGATCCACCACATAATCCCCTGCAATCCCAGCCAATCCCACTGGGAGAGGGAGCAGGACAAGGTGCAGATGTTGCACCRGGTTCAGTGCAGGAGTGTTTGTTCAGCCACGATTTCCTATTCTGAGCATTAAAAATTTAGACCTGTGAGGAATTTCTGTTGAAGGTACGGTATTTGCTGATCACTGTGTAATTAAAGATGTGCTGTGCTCTGCTCTCATTCACATGGGTCTAAAGACACACACAAAACTACTTCACTTTCTCACCCACAGACAGGCACCAGCTGTTTTTACAGAACCTGCTGCAGTTGTTGGCATCTGGGGTTTCAAAGGTTCCACATTAAAAGCAGAAGATGAAGAATAATAAGAATTTTTGATGCTGCAATCTTATCTCATACTAATCAGTTAAAAGAAAGCATAAATTTGGTCAGAGCATGCTTAAAACTGCATTTATATAATGATGAAAGGAGGGATAATTAACAAGCCTGTGCCATCTAGTGGGCACCACAAATGCCTGTGTGGGATTTCAGAATCGCTCATTTTTTTTATTTGCAAGGTAGCAGTGCCAAAAGCCAGGGCAGGGAGGGTCTGCAGTGGAAATTATCACTGTCCAGATGCCAAAACAATGCTTAAATACCTCTACAGTCTGCTTTTATGGAATTTAATAGTTAATGATAGCCCTCTGTGGAAAGATAACATTACTCTTTATATCCCTGTTCTCATGGAAAGGGAAACTGCACAGGAATACAACTCTGCTGTAGGACTTTTGTTAGGAAAGCTGTTACCAGATGCATTTGTGTTTGTTATATATATTTTAAAAATCCCTGTGCCCAGGTGAAGCTTCTTCAACTTTTATCTTGTCTCTGAAAAACAGCAATAAGTCATAGTAATTAATAAAAYATTCATTTGCATTTAAGCTATTAATAGTGGAAACATTGCATCACAGGTTCTTCGTAATTCCACGTGTAATGATTCCTAATCTAATTCTTACATCTGGTAATTACCATATAAATGTCAGTATTTTAACTGTAAATGTTATGAATGAGAGTGTGGCATTTTTTTAACATTTGCCAGCTCATCAAATTAACAGTCTTTAATGCTGGGACTTTCTGGCTTCCTTGATGGCAAAACTCCTTTTCATTATATCCACACAAAAAAAAAATTGTTAAAACTATGATTATTGTTCTTAGCAGTTTTCAACTGCTCAGCCGAGGGAGAGCTCAGGGATTAGACCACATAAAAGCATTAATAAAAAGCATTTTATGTGCACTATAATCACCCATGCCATCTGATTATTATCCATTATTCCAGTGATTTCTAACTCAACTTGGCAGCCCTCTATATTTCGTTTTGTAGAACACAAAACAGTCATCTGAATATATGAGAAGAGGTGGGGGGATCAAGCATTTATTCCTTTAGCTGATCTTTGGAATACAATGAAGATGTACTTGAATATGCGCAATAAGACTTTCAAATTCACCCAAGAATTTTTGAGATGTAGAACATCAGCAATTATTGAAAGGATTTATTATTTTTAAGTCATTCAAGGGCATTTCAAGTTTTTACAAAGTGTGAGGCTCACAGACGTAGATGAAATCAGATCAGGAGGAATCCATCCATAAATTTAGGCAGCAAAATTCAGACTGAACATTACAAATGCCTGTGAAACCCATAACATGCAGAAGAATCGTAGAACAGGTCAATCTGGTGTGTTTGTAGAGAAATTGTTTGAAATAAAAAGTGGCTTTTATGCTTTGTGCTCTCTTTACAGTGCCTTCAAAGCATGTCACCCCAAAATAAAGAGCTTCTACTTCGCAACCGACTGCCTTGAAGAGATGAACAGGTGAGCTCTGGCTTCTCTTTGTTGTGGGATGTTCTGTATATCCTGGTGCTTCAATATTTCATCTCACATAGGAATATACTCTCAGTATTTTGCCTGATGCAATGCTGCCTCATGGTGTTCTCAGGAATTAATCTTCCATTAATTTTAGTAAATACATCACATTCTGTGGCTCACTTTGCTGACATTTCCTTCCATGGCACATTTTAGTTCTGCAAAGGAAAGCTCCTTGTGTTGTTGTCATCTGTGTTAATTAGAATTTTTTCTTTTATTAATGGGCTTAAGATTTATCAGCCTTGCGATTTTTTTATTGGTTAAAGCTGGCAGTCTTAGTGAGATCAGTGTTTCTGGTATATAAAATAGGGCACCTGTACCAAAACTCGTACAGGTGGTGGGGWTGTATGTGGATATACATATATGTATGTATGCAAAGAAATAAAAATCAATTCCCCTTCCAATCCCAAGAGAAATCCCCAACAAYACAGAAAATCAGCAGTAATTAATTGKRWT